ATTGCCACATGGCCTCTGAAGAAGAGGAGTGCTTAATGTTGCACAGGCTGGCAGGCTCTCTGAGCTGGCCAGTGCTAGAGCTGTGGCTGTCGTGTGCACCTGAATATTCCCAGCCTCTTTCAAGGATGTGGCCATTTGCCTGAGCTCCAGCTTTTGTAATGTGGGTGGAAATGACTAGTTCTTTCAGACCTGACTCTCTGTCACCTCTCATCTTTCTTCTCCAAGTACTCAGGTGCTAAAGGATGATGATGCCCTAACATGAGTCCTTGAAGTAGTCTCTGGTGATTGAGAGTATCCACTGGGACATCAAGTGAATACAAGACATGTGGTCATTAAACAGTGACTTGGACAAGGGGCCAAGGAAAGGACTTACTTTGAAATCCATTAGTACTCAATTAACTCAGATTTCCCAACATTTCTCGTATACATTCCTTTACTTATTAAACACTAAGAGGAGTAGGCCCAATGTGCTTCAGAAGTGACACACACACACACCTGTGGAGGCCAGAAGAGAGTGTCACGTTCCTTGGAGCTGGATTTAGAGGCATTTGTGAATTCTAACTTCTATGGCTACCAGGATCTGAATGCTGGTCTTCATGATTGAGCAGCAAGTGCTGTAAAATCACTGCACCATCTCTCTAGCCCAGTAATATATATATATGTCCTAAAATTCAAACACAAGATGTATGTTTCATCTGATTTGGGAATGATTTTTCAGGAACTATAAGAATTTGCTCCTACTTATGAATTGAAAAAGTGGCAAGAAGGAAACATTTATACATTTTTTCCATTCCTAATAGTCTCACATAATTTCTGTCTTGTCAGTGGATGGCAGACAGACATTGGAGGCAGATTGAATTGTACTAGCAATAGCAAAGTTTCATTCTTTCCTTTTCTTTAGCCCCCAGGCTGAAATAGGGACTCATGGGGCTTCAAGCCCACTGTATTCACAGTCATGTTTCCATGTTGTGTGTAAATGGGACAGACAATGGGACATTCATATATAAGAAAAGAATTCTGCGATAAATAAATTAGGAGAATACTATATGTCTTTCCTTATGGGAGTCTCAATACACATTAGATTAAAGGTACCATGAAGATCTGCAATAAATGAAGCTATTTTGGGGTTTATTTGTATATAATAATAAGTTATAATGTACCTTGGTCTATAACTGATAAACTTTATTTGTCTATAATGCTTCTATTTATTATGTATGTTTTATAAACCATAATAATTTCATCTAAGCATAGACTGTCCATCATAAAACCCTGAAGTTTCAGTGGATCTTTCCCCACTTATTTTTTTCTGTGACAAAATTCCCAAGAAGAACAAAGGAGGGAGGATTTACTTTGGTTCATATACTCTCCAGATACTCAAGTCCATGCTCAGTTGGCCATGTTGTTTTCATGCAGGTAGAAGAGCAATAGCATGGCACAAGGGAAGGCATGGTGAGAGAAAGTTATTTACCTTAAGGTAGCCATGAAGCAAAGATGAGTAGCAGGAAGCGGCCAAAATCGAGATACATGCTTCTAAGGCATGCCACTGTGACCTGTCTCCTCCAGCTAAGCCCTACCTTCCCTTCACAGTTCCACTGCCTCCCAATAGTCTGTTCATATTTTTCGTGTGTGTGTGTGTGTGTGTGTGTGTGTGTGTTGGTGCCAGGTGACTTTTTAAACAGTTGCAAACTGCCATGTGGGTGTTAAGAATTAACCTGTGACCTCAGGAGGAGTGCTCTTACCTGCTGAACCAGATCTCCAGCCCAAGATACCAGTTCAGTTTCAGAGGGACTAATGTTTTCTTCTGGCCTCTGTTGGCACCAGGCACATGGTACACACACATTTATGTAAGCAAAGCACTTATACATGTAAAAAAAATAAAAAATAATAAAATCATCAATAAATTTAAAACATGATTTCTCACCAGTTAGTTTTCATGCCTTCTCTCTACAGTCTGGAAAGCCTTCTGATCATTCAGCACAGGCTCCTGTGGCACAGCTCTCCTCTGACCCTAGTTCTGTTCTCAAGGACTAAGTTATCAGCCCCGTGTTGTCCAAAGCCATAGTATGGCGTCTGAAAGGACCCAGTGACCTCTAACCCCTCCAGATCTCTTCTGTAGTGGTTGTTGTCTGCTTGGCCATCTCCAGTAGCAGTGCAGACCTTGGGGGCTGTTTGCCAACCATTCAATTCTAGAGCCTAGAACAGCACAAATGTGTTACTGGGGGCATTAACAAAGCCTGGCATTTCTGGTTTCCAAGATGCCATTTGTGTTGGTTTGAATCAGAATGGCCCCCATTGGCTGATATATTTGAATGCTTAGTATTTAAGGAGTAGCACTACTTGGGAGGGATTAGAGGTATAGCCTTGTTGGAGGAGGTGTGTCGCTGAGGGGTAGCTTTGAGGTCTCGAGCCCACACCAGACCCAATGTCTGTGTGTCTGTCTGTCTCTCTCCCTGCTGCCTGTGGACCCAGATGTAGAACTCCCAGTTACTTCTCCAGCACCATGTCTACCCACAGGCCTTCGTTTTCACTGCCATGAGACTGGGCTAAGCCTCTGATACTGTAAGCAAGCTCCAATCAAATGCCTTCTTTTAGAAGAGTTGCTATGGTCTGGTGTCTCTTCATAGCAATAGAGCACTGACTAAGACACCATTATATACATAATTCTCAAAACAATCCTAGGAAGTGAACAGCAGAGCAATAGGCCACTGGGAAGTTTTATTCACAAATCAAGGACATGCTTTATGGCTTGCTCCTACTAAAGATGATTACCATTTTTAGCCCATCTGGGTCAACTTGTGAGCTACTGTTGAGCTAGTCTAGGATGTCAAAAATTTGACCTGATGTCAGATTTATTAAGCTATCTGATCTTTCTCACTGTGCCTAGAACCTGGCAAAGGGCACTACTGGACATTTTCTCATCCTGAGAAACTGTATTCAGATATGAACTATATCATGCATATGTATATATGCATATGTTCTGTGAGTGAAGGAAAATGTGGATTTGTCTGTCTTAGGCTTAACGCCATGATCTGTAGTTCTGCCCATTTTCTTGCAAATAAGATGATTTGCTTCTTTATAACTGGGTAAAATGACATTCTCTTTTATCTGTCCATCTGTTAGCCTGTCCTCTCCTCCTCATGGAGCCTTCTCTGGAAAGGCTAATCTGGTTCTAGCCCTATGGCTTTCACCCTATTTTTTGTGGAAGCCCAAGAGTTCGTCAGAGAGGCCAACAGTACTCTTTAACAGGTAGGGTTAGTAATTGTGGTAAGAAGGGCGCAACAGTCTTGACTCTAGGCCTCTTTTTCCCTCAATGAAGGCAGTTCAGCTTTGGACTGTATCATACAAGAAACACTGTTTAATGTTATTAGCAAACTGTGATTACTGGTTAAGTCTGTCCTCCCTCAGGTGACGGTCCTGAGCCCTGGACAGGTTAGGTGGGCCGGCAGTGTGCAGGGGCTCTGGGAGCCAGCAGTGTCAGGGTTGGTCCTGCACCAGGTCAGTGCTCTTGGCTCTGCAGCAGCTCCATGCTCCGCTCTCAGGGTGTGTGTGCCCTGTGCTCTCAGACAAGGGAGTCAAGTTCCTCTGAGTGCGTAGACAGGCTTTCCTATTGCTTTTCCATTTCTTGTTCCTGATCAGGGAAAGCCAGAATAATTAAGACTTCACATCCAAAGCAGGGCTGCTTTGTGCAGGTCTGGGGGTGCAGCCGGCTAGGATCTTGGCTCCTGTCCTGCATTTTATCAGTTCCTCTTAACAGAGAGGGGGCCTGAGTTCCTTCTGCCACTCTAATCCCCATGCTCCCCCCACCCCTATTTTACTGATTAACAGGGCTGTTTAACATCTCAACAACATAATTGTCTCATTATCTATTGGGTTTCAGAACCTTGTTTTTCTTCAGAGTTGTGACGATAGAATGGATGTAGGTCGGCTTGATTCTGCCTTTCTCTGTCAGTGGCCTGCAAGTGTTAAATATGCAAGAGCCACTGCTGGTCCACGTTCAGTCACCTCAGTGTCACAACATGGTGTTTGTGTACGCTTCACACTGGAAAGAAGTGATTACCTTCCTTTGACTAACTGGAGAAATCCTCCCTGAGTCTTGATTTAATGTGCCTGTCACAGGTCCAGTCTCAGTGGGGGAGGGAAGAGAGTAACAGCCTCTGTGGTAGGCAGTCTCACTGCCTCAAGAGAACAAAACAAATCCCAGTGTTGGGAGTGGCAGCGACAAGAAATTTCTACAGGTCTGCTCGTCCAGATTTAAGCCACTTTCATTTTGGCCACGAGTAGGAAGAGTTCTCTGTAAGACAGGGGAAGAGTCTCTGGGACCCACCCTCTCCCCACTGCTCCCGAAGGTGAGGTGGCAGCTGAGTTCTGCATCAGCTCTGTGAGGTGGTGTCCAGCAGGGAACACCGGCAGGCTTGTGCGCTGGGGCTTTACCTGTGCCCTGACAATTATTAGTCTATGCACTTTAGAATTGGGCTCACTTGGTCAGCTGTTTATCACATTTTGAATTATTTCCCCCTCCCCCCTCCCTGTTTTGTTCTTTTTGTCTTTGACAGATGTGGAAACCTCTTTTTAGTAACTTTGAAAGAGGTATTATTACTAGCCAGAGAGAAAAAGCGGTCAGCTGCCTAATAGGGAACCATGAATGTGAGTTCGTATTTGCTTAGGGCTGAATCTGCGCTGCACTCCCACCTTGATTCTTGAAGTGTAGAGCAAAAAATAAAGAGGTGATTTTTATTTTTTTCCAAAATTATGCTAGGAAAATCTTTTTTAAACTTACAGATTTTAGTCCAATGAGGAACCTTGTTCCTTGGACTAAATTTTGCATATTGTCTGTTTCTTACCAGGCTTCCGTATTGTTTCAGGCTCCACTGGAAATGCAGCAAGGATTCCTAGCACATCCCAGTTGCCATAGCAACAGCAGTCTTTCCCATAATGAGCTGCATCATCTGAACTGATGTCACAGCATCATGCAGCAGGTCAAACAAGGCATCTCCTAGTATTGCGTCCTACAGATGTGCTGTAAACATCAAAAGAAGACACTGGGAGCAGGAGATGGTGAGTGTTAAATGTTTGGGCCTTAATTGCATGGCTGTTTCGTTGGTTAGTCGGTGGCGTGGCATCTGCTAAGGCAGGGGTGGGGGGATGTTGTCTGCTTAAAATGGACCGGAGGAACGAAGGCTTGTTTTGCCTAATTCTGCTGTCAGGCTGCTGTGTTAAGACAAAGGCCTGTAAGTGTCATATAAGAATCAAAATGCTAAGATTTCTTGATTCATTTCTGCCTGTTATTTTTAGTATTCTTATGAATTAAAAAAATTAGCACAAGAAAATTTTCTATTGCAAAAGCCCAAATAAGCTCTGAAATGTGTAGTTCATAGTATTTTAACATTGTAAAGATACGTTTCTGTTTTATGAGGAAGGGCTAATTGGTCCCATTTGCTTCTGTGATTTATGAAATATTTAGTGACTTGCAGAATGGAATTTAGTATTTACCTCCATTGGGTTTCAGATTCTTCACAGCAAGGAATGACTGCTGAATAAGCATTTGATATATTCCCTCATGTGAAATGGATTCTCTTGCATGTTCAAAAAATAATTTATTAAAAACATAAATACTGAAGCCAGATGAAATTATTTATGCCTTTCAATTTGCATGGAATGTCTTCAATTCACATCCTCCATAGTTAAAAGGCTGGAGTTGTTTGCAGGCTGATTTGTAACTGAGAGAGGAAAAGTCTCCTCTCTGCGGCAGTTAGAGTCAAGGATGACCCTAGGGAGAAACTCTGTCAGCCCTTGCTTCACTTTAGCCCCAAACTGGTGTGATGGATAAATATCAGGATCCTTAATAATTGTTAGGAATACAGATCTCTGGGCGCGTAACCTTAACTCAATTCTGAAACTCTAGGTAAACATTGTTTACATTTAATTCAGAGCTTGCCTTTAAGCATCTCACTTTTTTATTTTCTAAAAGGAAGTCTAGCAAGTCAGTAGGGAGGTGAGCATCATTGCCTTTTGTTTTGGGAAATGAAATGAATCCCCTTGGTGCAACTGATTGCTACTAGGAGAGAAAGAAGTCACATGTCAGTTCAGTGGATCAATCTGCCCGCTTACAGTCAGGGAGTGGTCTTGTGGTTCAGTGCAGTCAAGTTGATAGTTTTTATTTATATAGTCTTACTGGAAAGAATAGCAATCCCTTGAGTTCCCTTCCATTTAGTTTAGATTGTTGATGGAGCCTAAAACAGATATATCATAAGAAGCAGGAGAAGCACACATCTAGCCAGCTTGGATTGATTTTTTTTTTCCTGTGGAGTTGAGCACACTGGTCCTATTAGGCACTAGGCTGAGGGGTAGAGCTCGGATTTTAATTAGTTTGTTTATCCCACACCACACATTCTGCTCCCAGTCTTTTAAGCTTATATGGCTGGCATGCAGCTATATGGGATGGCAGAGGTCAACCCAGTCTGGCTTTCTCACAAGCACTTGGGAGCATAAATGCTCATTGCCTGCTTTTTTATGACGCATAGTGTGAGCAGAGAGCTCTGCTGGGCGTGAACACAGCCAAGTCGGAAGCTCTCAGGTGAAAGGGAGGAGCAAGGCGGTAATGGGGGAAGGGAAAGTGTGCGGATGGCTGAAGTAGAGTCTGGACACCATGCCCCGGCTTCTGAAGTACTGCTTCCAGTGACAAGTAATGGGAAAAGACTTGTTCCATAGCATAAATCACTAGGAGTGAAAAAATAACTGAAGGCAGCGATTTAATGGGTTTCCTTTTGGCTTGACTCTTGTTCCTTTTGTCTACTGGTGCTCTCGGCCGCTCCATCAGGGGTGATGTGTGCAGTTACTGGAAGTCACGGAGGCTGGATTCCTTAAAGGCCGCGGTAGAAAAGTGAAGTCATGCTTTGAGGTGGGGAAGGGCACTGCTGGGTGTGGGCTGCCGCACAGTTAGCAGAACATCCGCCCAGTGCAGACAAGCCTGTCATCCTCCCAACCCCCACAGCAAGCAGCTACAGTTCCTCAACTTTATGCTTTTGTGCCTTTTGCTCCAGGAGAACAAAGCCTTGATAGCAGGAGCTGTCACCCGGGTGTTCTGCTTCTCAGTGGGCCACAGCCTGTGTTGCACTCTGATTAGCTGGGCCTTAATTGCTAGCTAAGGCTATTTCAGTTGCAATAGTTATAATGTATCCCCCAGGGATGTGTGTGTGCACGTGTGTGTGTGTGCATGGGGGAGTGGATTGTTCGATAGCTGGATTTATTGGTGCCTCAGTGAAATTTTCTACAATTTCAAGTATTTTGTTGTGCATAACGTCTGGAATATTATCAAAACCATGTTGACTGTGTGGCCAAGTTTAGACTGTGTAAGTCTCACAAGCAGTTAAGCTCTTCTATACTTTTGGTTATGGATTTTGTGACTGAATTACAAAGTTATAATGAATTTAATTCTTTCTAGATAACAAAGCCATAGTGGGGATGATAAAAATAATCATAGTAACAATTAGAACGAATGATTCTTCAACTCATATCAGTTTTACTGAGCCATGCTTTGTGTATTAGCTTGTTTAGCTCTAAAGATGAAATTGTGAGCTAGAAAGTACCAATCTTACTTCATAAGATTGGATGCTGGCATTCACATTGTACAGAATCAGTTCTTAGGTTAGACCCGTGGCTAAAGTCACATATTTTAAAAGTATTGGGCTGGGATTCCAAACCAGTGCAGTCTGTAAAGCCTACATACTTTCCACAGCTACCCCAGTGTCATGACTCCTTATTGTAGTCATCTGTACTTTGTCACATGTTCCCCACCCTTCCTAATTCTGACTGGGAGGTCAGATTTCACAAGAAGAATGAGCTCTCACTACAATCTGATTCGTTTTACTGTAAAGATGAACATGAATCTTGGCCAGATGTGAATAATTTCTCTGACCATAGCAGTTTAAGTAATCTTTGCTTGACATATTGTTTTAGCTGAATCTGTGCATGGAAGATGCTCCCAGGAATGAGTGTGGGCATAATGGAGTCTCACTAACAGTAGGTCTGACCTGAGTCATTAGCGACTCAAGTTTGTTGTTCCTGTCTTATCAGCTCTATCTGTAGTGTTCCGCTAACCTTGAGATACTTGCATTTGCTGGCAATGCCCAGCAAATAATAAAAGCAGAAGCCTCCCTCAGAGGCCAGTGGGTCTGATATGGATCCATCTCTTGAGGGTTTATTTGGCTGGATGTATCGGTGGCTGAAAAATGAGTGCTGCATGATCTAGTACAAGAATCACCAGCTTGTGCAACATCCTGGAAGCCTCTTGATTGAGGAGAGCCAATCCTGTCATCCCTGCTCTGCTCGCCCATCCCCAGCTGTCCATTCTCAGGGTTGTTACAGGGCTCTCAGGGCTGTTCTTTGTTTAAGTGTAGGCTAATGCACACACAGCACACTGATATTGATTCTGGGATGGTGAATACTTAGAAATATTACAGAGTGCATTAGCTTTTTCTAGGTTCTGGGAAGACATTAGCTGTTGTCCTAGACTGTTCCAAGAAGGTCCAAGTTTGTTTCTGCATGAGGTACCAGATTGAGGAAGCAGTGGAGCATCTACACACAGTGTATTCTAGAGGAGAGATGAAAGTAAACTGGTACAATTGTTAGAGTGATTCCTTTCACCTGGATGAAAAAAATCCCCAAAATAAAACACTTCTGTTTATTTGGCTTTCATGTGTTAACATAGAAATATCTATAGCTGTATAGCTTTCCTTGTATACATGGTTTATATATGTATATGAACATACTGTATTGAAAAATACCACTCTTTCTTCCTTGGGATGGATTAGAATCTTGCTATGTGTCAAAAAGACCAAGATTGCCATTAATGTCTTATTGGTATAAGACTTATAAGCTATTCTGAGAAACATAATTGCAATAATTCAGAAACTATATTTCTGCCTTACTTGACAAAACTGACCTGTAAAAATAAGAAATGTACAAGACAGATCAATTAAGGAGAGATATAAAAAATATTGCAGTATTTCTCACCTTGACAAATTCCCTTCCTGAAGAGTTCTCTTGGTATAGCATTCTGGGAAGTTGGTTGTCTGGTGGAGTGTGTGCATACAAGGCTCCAACCATAAGCTTATTATTTATTTATTTTTATTCACTTTACATCTCTGTTGTAGCTCCTTCCCTCCAGACCTGCTCTTCCCCCTCCCCTTTCCCTCAGAAAAGAGGAGCTCCCTTTCCCATCCACCCTAACTCATCACGTTGCATCAGGGCTGAGCATATCCTCTTCCTCTGTGGCCTGGCAAGGCAGTCCCTTCAGGGAAAAGTGATCAAAAAGCTGGCTAGTGAGTCCTTGTCCCATGCAGTCCCCACTTTCCTTACTAGAGGACCCACATGAAGCCTAAGTTTCCCATCTGCTACATCTTTGTAGGAGGCTTAGGTCCAGTTCATGCATGGTCCTTGGCTGATGATTCATTCTCAGCAAGCTCCTCTGGGCCTTGCTTAGTTGGCTCTGTTGGTCTTCCTGTGGAGCTCCTGTCACCTCCAGGTCCTTTCCTCTTTCCTCCTACTTTTCTACAATACTCTCTATGCATCACCCAGTGTTTGGCTGTGAGTCTCAGCATCTGCTTTGAGGCACTGGTGGGTAGGGCCTTTCAGAGGACAACTCTTATAGGCTCTTGTCTGCACGCTTAGCAGAGTATCCTTTATAGTGTCAGGGGTTGGCACTTTCTGATAAGGTGGGTCTTTCTTTGGTTGGGCCAGGCATTGGTTGGGCATTTCCTCAATCTCTGCTCTATCTTTGTTCCTACACATCATGTAGGCAGGGTAAATTTTGGGTTAAAGTTTTTTGTGGGTGGGTTATGTTCCCTGGTCTTTACTCGGAGGCCAGTCTAGTTAGAAGGTGTCCTTTTCAGTCTCTGTGGCCTCTGCTACTAGGGGTCTCTGATTGAGTCCCCCTCATATCCTCCCAGGAGCCTGTCCTGACTTAGGTCTCCAGCGTGTCATAAAGATACCCCACCCTCAGTTTCTCTTCTCTCTACAGGACTTCTGTCTTTTCACTCTTGCTCTCCCCAGGTCTG